GACTTTTGCTTTAACTTCTGCAATCCTTCCCAAACTGATTGAATATGCACACTTTATACATTTTACAAACTAACCGAACCAAACCAGCCAATATCCGCATGCTAAACTAGGCACCACAATCATATCATAACAACAATAAGTTAAATCCAGCCATCAGGGTGGAAACATGTTTAAGACAACGTTTTTTTCTTTTCCCACTGTAAACTTAAGAGTTCAAACCATTCATCCAAATACATGAGTATATTCAACATGGTGCGTGTTAGCAGTAGCTGATTACTTCATGATGAAACCAGCATTTGCACACCAGCAGCTCTGCTTCTACAGAGTCTGGTATTTCTCATAATCCCACAGGTGAGTGGATTATTCAGGTTATATCGTCATCAAAATCAAACCATCGAAACTTTTTATGGTCTGGAACAAACAGCTGCTGCTCTATCCCGACAGACAGTCGTGCTCCAGTTGTGTGTTTAGACGTTACAGATGTGCACGCCCTCCAGCCAATCAGAATCCCAGTCTTTCTGCCTGGTCAAATCCAAACAGGACATACCTCATACAACAGAAACAAAGTGATCAACATCATCCAACTTTTTAATCTACATCTAAAGGTGAACCATAAACCACCTAATAAATCTACAGAATCAAATCCTGAATGTGTTCACTAAGAAAATGAAAGAATTACAAAATAAATCTCAAACGATGTAAAGTATACCTGACTGTATACTGTATGTATATGAATTATTATTCATTAGGCTTGGGCGATTTCCAAAACTTAATATCTCCATACAGTCCAGCCCAAAGATCGTGATATCCGATATTATCAAATATCGCTTAGTATAATAATATAATATAATGTTGTATTTTATGTTTCAGTTATTTTTGGGTTTTTTTTTATAATATATAATTACATTATTGTATTTTATCTTTCAGCTGCCACTAAACAGCAGTTCAAAGTTTCATTTGTTTTATTTGGCAGTTTTTTAAATATCCCATTTGGTGAGAAATATTGCGATATATGATATTATCGAATATCGGCCCAAGCCTGTTATTCATCGTAATCAGCAAACAATTTGTTTTATTGGTTAAAGCTGCAAAACATGTTTTCACATTAAAACATAAATAAATAAATAAATACTATATATATATATATATCTATATATATATATATATATTCTGAATCACATCTTTATGTTTTGTAGCATTTATGCTGTGAAGGTGAAAACACCATAAACCAAATAGCAAACAATTGAATTGAAGGATTCCTTGATTGTGTGTGTTACTAAAACCACAGGTGTTGGCAGTAATTCAAAGTTTTAATACTGCATGGTGACAAAGACTCTGCCATACAACTGATGGTAAAATACAAAAATACAGTAACACAAACTGAAATGGTACAAAAACTTCATTCAACACAGTCGGTCTGAAACTGACATGATTAAGGTAAATAAGCCCTTCAGCTGTCAGCTCTGTTACACAGTTGTACCGTGTACAGTGTGTTGCATATTCCAAAATATAACAAGCTATATAAAATATAGTTCAAAGACAGAAGAACTGTGTTGTACGATTAACATGTTTTTGCATACTGATACATTTCACACGTATCACAGTCATCTAGTCAGTGCCTCTGAATATCCCTCTACTAGAGCAGGACCTGGTCACCGTGATGCCTCAGGTAATGCTGTCAGTGTTGGTTTGGAAGAGGAGACTGAGATCTGGACACCAGGTTTTTATCAAGAACAAGATTTTAAAAACTGACTCAGTTTTAATCACTAGGGTTTTTCACCGTGCGTCTCTCTGATCATCTGACTTTATGTATTGATGGGGGAACATCCTACACCAAGTACCGACTCGTCCTGGAGCTAGTTTCACAAAGATATTTCAGGCTGGTCTGTAGTGTTGGTGCAGTCTAATGTTAGTCAAGACAAAAATAAAGACTGACTCATTTTAAGCCTGACTTGGGCCAATGTTACCTATGTTACCATGGTAACAATCAATGACACCTGCGCTGACCAGTAGCACCCAACAACAAAATCAGAAAAACATGGCTCATAATACGAGCAATGAGAAGGGACAGAGGTTTTAGAGACTGCAATTTTTTTTTCCAAATCAGATTTTTTAAAAATTTTTATTGTTTCACTGTTTGAATAAAACGTCTTTACAACTGTTGAATTCTTCCAGTAGACAAATGTTTTCTGCTGGGGTGATGGAGCTGAGCGGTTGGATGCTGTGCAGCCATTTTTTTTTATTTTGAAAAAAAGTAAATTACCCAGAATTCATTGTACCACAGTCAAGTTTAAGATAGGCAAGAACTAAACTGCTGTGTGCAACAGATGAACTTAGACTCAGTCTATCTGAAGTCTGACTGTCTCTTTGTGAAACCAGCTCCTGGTTCAGACTGAAGCAGACTACAGTGTGAGGTGAATCAGGTCAAACCTGGCATCTTCTAACCCAGTCCAGTTAATCATTAATCACTTTATAATTCAACTGTTACTGTCACTGACCAGTCAGAGTTTTAAGTTTCCTGAAGTGACAACTACTGCAGTGTAACTGAAACAGCTTGACACTGGTCGCTGACTTTATTCACATCCACACAGTTTTCCTATGAAGATACTGATTTCACTAGAGTTCCCAAGCTCACTGCAGACTAAAAATGACTTGATGAATTCAGTAATTCAGGTTAAGAGGAATCTTAATTTAAAATTCAAAACCTCATGAACCTGGGAGTGTAGGGACACACGGAGGGAGTGAATCTAAATGTATTAAACTGGGCTTAGAGTGCTGTGTACAGTTGTCACACTCCAAGCTCCATCATAAACAGGATACGCGAGCCAGGGTTAAATTAAGCTCCACAGGAGTGAGGACTGTGGGAACATGAATGAAAATCTAGAAACATAAACTCATGGTTGAAGCAAAGCAGACAGAAACAATACGATCATGTCTGTCATTCATTCAAGGAGGAATTTCGCTCCGAAATGACAACTCTGACATCGACTCTTACAAAAGTGGCTGCAGGAAAGTAGGAAATGCACCATGGGAGAATTGTCAATAAAAACAAACTATGAGGCTATGGTTAAGTTTCCCCTCTGATTGTCTAACGGGCACCTGACGCGGTGCAGAAAGCAGCAGGTGCTGAGACCCACGGAAACAGATAAAAACAGATATGAACAGATCGATAGACGGACTGATAGAAATAGAGCCGCTCTCCCGGAGCGGAGCCCGGGACGAGAGGGAGAGTCAGCCAAGAGCTTCACATTCCTGCCCGGGCCCTTCTCACCCACCAACACGTCATCCTGTAAAACGGTAAGGCAGCTGTTGGCTTCCATCAGCTCAAAGTGCATCTGCGAACATATCCACTCCACCACCCACACATACACACACACACACACACACACACACACACACACACACACACACACACACACACATACAGCAGAAGCAGACACACGTGTAAAATACACAAGCTTGGTTTCCATCCAAATATCTTAGTGTGGATTTTTATGTAGGAGAGAAAAGGAGCAGAATTGAACAGAAACGTTGGTGCTCACTGGAAGCAGGAAGTGTTTTCTGACAACAGAACGCTGCAGCAGAGAAGAGAGGCGTCGACTGACTTCAATAATAAAGGCCTGGTTCAATTAAAGTGCACTACAGCTCAGACATGTTCACCTGACTGTGTCTCTCCGCAGTGGGAGTCCTGTGTCTTACGGTGGTTAAGCTGAATAGGGACCAACATCATTCAAACTGAGGAGCCGACCCTGTTGAGGTGCTCTCTCTCTCTCTCTCTCTCCCTCGCTCTCTCTTCTTCTTCTTCTTCTTCTTCTGTTGGATCATTTAGGAAACAAATTCTCTTCAACTAAGCTGGACGAGGCACAAACTTTTTATTGCAGCATTTCAAAACTTCCATATTTGCCGAACAGTTGGATGGAAATGGAGCCTTACACAGAGCGTGCACGCACACACACGCACACACGCGCACACACACACACACACACACACACACACACACACACACACACACACTCACACAAACAGGCATTTATAGGCAGTATAGATGCCAGGCCTCACGCTCGCTCACATCCACTCCACCTCTCCAGGCCTCCTGTTATTTCTAACCCTGATAGAGAATCCATAGCTGAGGCTCAGGGGCCAACTGCTTGCTTCAGCTTTCACTGCACTCTGAGTGGAGTCACAAATCATCGCCAGTCCAATCAGGTTGGGACTCGAGCACCAAAGACAGTCCGTCCAGAGAGAGGGTGGGGTCGGGTAGGGTGGTGGTGGGGTGGGTCGGGTTGTAGGTGGCGGAGGTTTCATCTTTCTCTCTCTCTGCTTTTTTCCTCTCTCTCTCTCTCTCTCTCTCATCCTCCACACTTTTCTTCTCGTCCTCCTTCTTCACTAGTCTATTTTCAGTCCTCCGTTTTGCCCATGTCTGCCGTTCTGACTGGTGTCATTTTTTTTTTTTTTTTTTTTTTTTTTTTAAAGGCCCCTCTGGCTGATGGAGGGTTAGCAGCTCGGGCGACTAGTTTGGATGAGTCCACTGCAGGGTCAGAAATAAATAGAAATAAATAGAAATGTTCACACTGTGGCCAAATGCTTTATTTACCTCGACTACAGAGCAGCAGGCATTCACTTCAGATTTCCTCTGTTACAGTCAAGTAACTGTATCTCAGTACAACAGGCCTGTGGAGCTCTGGCTTTCTGTGCAGGCTACAGTGATGTGCATGGAGCTACAGCAGTTCAAATGTTTGTGCTGCTTTTCTATCATTTCCAAAAGCAAAAAGAACAAAAGAACAAGAACAAAAGTGTAAGAATGGATTAAACAAATGAACGAGTGCGTTCATCTGCTCTGACAAAACCAGCATTTCTGGCTAACTTCTTACCTACAGCAGTAACTAAGCATTTTATAGCATTAAAATATATGAACTAAGTGTGTGGTGTTTCTTCACTGTGTGGAAGCTGCTCCTGGATGCTAGCAGAGTTTATGCTGCAGCACCTGCAGCTCATGTTTCCTGAGGTGGTGCTACATTCATACTTCAGTTAGTCCTCATCCTGGACACTTTTTTCCTTTTGACAGTAAAAATAATAATAATTTAAAAAAAAAAAAAACTGTTTGAAAATGAACAAGTTTGTAAACTAAGCAGACAAACAGGCTGATGTGTCTTTTGTTATTAAATCCCTTTTAGGCCACGTCCACACGACTAGGTTTTAGTTTTAAAGCACATCTCATGCTATGTTTTCACCTCCCGTACACATGACTCTGGAGTTTTCAGCCCCTAAAACTAAGGATGCCCTGATTGATCAGCCGCTGATCAATATCGGCCAATTTTCATTAAAAATATGTGATTGGTAGATCAGCATTAATGCTTCTAGTCACCGATGACCTGTGGTTAATACTCCGGTGTCTGTCGAGCACTGTGTGTTGTGTAGTGTAGTCCCGCCTCCCACCTTGTTCACTGCACGACAGGCCACTAAAACAAAACATGTCGGCCGTGTGGAACTTTTACAGTGTTAGTGTGTGAGACTGATAGAAGGTACGCCATCTGCAAGGCATGACAAAAATGTGGCTGCGGATCGGCCGGTCTCACTCATAGATGATCGGTATCTGCGGCAAGAAAACGTGATTGCCGCATCTCTACCTAAAACAAAGACTTTCAGAAACTCTACTGGCCTTGTTTTATTTTGAAAACTCTGGGGCTGTGTTGTATCTGGACTGAGACGATGACGTAGACTCCCACGGTCTCTCCTGATTGGCTCTCATCAGCCTGGACTCCCAGTGGTGAATACAACATGATAATGAATTACAGTGTTACTGACCTTGTTGTCTTTGCTAGCAGCTGTTGTTCACTTATATTCTGTATTTTAATGCTACAACTGTCTTTGCTGTTCCTCATTCAGAGGATTTTCTGTGACTAATCAACTGCAGAGTAGACGACCTGCTTCCTGTTCACACCTGCACACATATGGTGTGTAAATGAATAATTAGGTCATGTATGTGTTCTCAGGTGTGTTAGTCTGGATGGAGATCGTTTTTGTTTGAAAACGCTGTTTTCCAATGAAAACATAGTAGTGTGGATGTAGCCTTACACCATCAGTTATTCGCACATTCTTCCCAGCATGCATTGCTTTAAGATTAAAACATGAGGAAAGTTACACGGAGGCTGTTACAGGTCTTTTTCTACATGATGTGTCTCAGAGGACACACACATTGTGATGAAAACCAGTCTGCATGTCACACTCCTGTGGGAGTGACTGGAGATAATTACAGGACATGCAGTTCCCTTAGAGGCAGAAGCAATGTTGTTTTATCTGGGAGAGAAAACATCCACCAGTCCACCATGTTGCCCTTAGGACCTGTGTATCAATCAGCCTAACTCACACTAAACATAGATCCAGACGAGGGTCGCAAAACCAGTTTAGCTGATGTGCATTTACCCTTTAAGATGATGCTAATGATGCTAATGCAGATTTAACCTGTGTCCAGAACAATACAGATGTGTCAGATTTAAAATGTCAGTACAGAAACATCTGTTCATGAGACAATAGTAGTGTGAGTGGCTTTGACTCCACATGACCCTGTGACCAACACAGTCTGAGTGATGACAGGCAGGTGAGTCTTACCTGAGTCGAGGTTTGGTCAGGTGAGGAAATGGACAAAGATGATAGCTAGACCTACATTCAATAGCATCACGAGAGCCACCAGTATAGAGTTAGGACCCTGTGGAGACAAGAGGGGTTGATGTTGGATTATGTGTTCTGTTACATTAGCACATACAGTATATACACATAGCATATATTGTACATGTAGGACATATACAGTTATGTGCAGAAGAGTAATTGACATACGTTGCATTAACATTTGAAAAAAGGCTAATTTGAGCTGTGTGTTTGCTGCAGAGTTGGATCCACTACTTTTCACAACAAAAATGAAGAAAAAATGTAATTTTCCCAAACTTTTACATTCAAATGTGTATGACACACAATATTTGTGCAGCTGTTTGCAGCTGATCAGCTTGTATACACAGTCTACCAGCCCAGCACCAACTGGCTCTCTGACAGAGATGATGAATAGCTGGTGAACATGAACGCTTAGTCCTAACCACAGCAACACGGGTTCATATCTGACCCGTGGCCCTTTGCTGCATGTCATCCTCTCTTTCTCTCCCCCTCTTCCTGTGTTTTGTGTCTCTCTCACTGTGGCTGTCAGAAAAAAAAAAAAAAAAAATCTGCTCTTTCTCCAGACCATGTGGATACACTAATCTTTCTGAAAAAAACATGAGAATAGAGTGGATGTATTTTTTTTCTTTTTTTTATGAAATGTGCACCTTTGTATTTACGTTTAAGATTCATAATAAATTAAAATGAATGTGATGTTTTGCATGTCCTTTTTTTTAAACTGTACTGAAAACATACCGAACCTGGAATTCAAAACCGAGGTATGTATGGAAATGTGATTTTTGTGTACCGTTACACCCCTAACCTGATTGCATCATTATCATTATCATTGTCTGCAAAAAACTCTATAATAATATCACATATGGCAAGATATATAGAGATATTTGATATTATCTAATATCACCCAACGCAGTCAGAGTTGCCATTATTACTTTAGTTGGACAAGTATGTAGCTGTTACATTATATTTGAAAAAAATATTTCAAAGCTCCATATTTTCTTCTTCTCCTGTGTTTTATTTGAAGTGTTGATCCATAAGAAGATATATTTTCTCCCTTGTGGATGTTCCTCAGGTTCCCAAGTTGGTCTTTAAGGCCAAAGCCTCCACCTGCTCTCTGGACCCCATGCCCACTGCCTTGGTCAAGGCATGTCTACCTGCTCTGTGCCCCCTCATGGTAGACATCATCAACTCCTCCTTGGAATCTGGTTTAGTACCCTCTGGATTCAAAGTTGCCTCAATCACTCCCATCCTCAAGAAGCCAGGTCTTGACCCCGATGACCTCAACAACTACAGACCAATCTCCAACCTTCCTTTCCTCAGTAAAATCCTAGAAAGAGTGGTTGCCGCTCAACTCCATCAACACATGTCCAACCATGACCTCTATGAACCAATTCAGTCTGGCTTCGGAGCACACCACCACACAGACACCGCTCTCATCAAAATGACTAACAACCTTGTCATTGCTGCTGACTTTGGCCACATCAGCATCCTCATCCTCCTGGACATCTCAGCAGCCTTTGAAACAGTCTCCCACACCGTCCACCTCACCCGCCTATCTGACTACCTTGGCCTCACCAACAAAAAACAGTTTGTCGCCATTGGAGGCTCTAGCTTAGCCCCTGCCCTTGTCAACCACGGTGTACCCCAAGGCTCTGTGCTTGGACCCCTCCTCTTCACCACAACAGAGCTCATGGTTGTGGCTCCCAAGGTCCTGCTCCAGAAGGTTGGAGATCTACACCTACTTCTGGACATCGACAGCTGCTCCATCTCCCCATCCCTGGAAGTCCGCAACCTGGGTGTCATCTTGGACTCAACTCTCTCATTCCAGGCACGTCAAGTTCATCACCAAATCTGCTTTCTTCCACCTCAAAAAAATCTCTCGCCTCCGGCCATCACTCTCTGACTCTGTCGCAGAGACCCTCATCCACACCTTCGTCACCACTCGTCTGTATTATTGCAATGGAGTCCTGTTCGCAGTTCCCAGCAAAACCCTGGACAGGCTCCAGTATGTCCAGAACTCAGCTGCCAGGGTTCTCACCTGCACCAAGCCCTGGCACCACATTACCCCCACCCTCATCCAACTTCACTGGCTTCTGGTCAAAGCCCGCATCCAGTACAAAATCCTCTCCCTCACCTACAAATCCCTCCATGATCTCACACCCCAGCACCTGTCTGACATCCTCCACCCCTATACCCCATCCCGGAACCTACGGTCCTTGGACATTGGTCTGCTCTCCACGCCCTACACCAGCCTGCGATCTTGCCTCTGGCCTCTAGCTGCGTCATCTCCTCCAGTCTCTACCATCCCTCGTCTTGTTTTCATTTATTTGTTCTTTATTCATTTTGTGTTTCTTTCTCTGTAAAGTGGCCTTGGGTACCTTGAAAGGCCCTATATAAATCCAAGTTGTTATTATTATTATTATTTGTGGTTTTAAGAACCAAAAGCCATCTCAGTGCAGTTTTCCATCTCCTCTCTCAGGCTTCTCTCTGAAGCTCTAGTAACAACAGGTTGGTGAGCCAATCAGAAGAGAAGCAGCTCTGAGCATTTTCTGAGTGATCCAATAAAAATATAGCAGATTTCAGGTAAACACTCAGAGAAATCAAATCCTGCAAGGTTGGAAGGTGGGTCCAGGGGACCTTTAAATCAAAAAACCATATTGCTAATTGTCAATTGACAATTCCATATTTTACTCAAATCATTCTGCCCGACTCACAACAAATTAACAGCTCTCTGATTTGAACCTTTCCTCAAAACCATAAGAGTACTGCCAAAGTTGTGGTTTCCAGTCCAGATACAGATACTGTACAACAGGGCACCAACACTGAAAGGTTAGCCAATCTACTTCCTGTGTGGCTTAACTGGACAAACCTGTGCCTTTGGGGTCCAGAGTACGTTCAGACGTTCTGATGCTGATCAGAAATGACACCAGGTGATTTCAGACTAGTGCAACTTCAGCTAGAGAGGAGCTCGTGACCCTCTAATGGACAGGATTGTGGGTTCCCTGCTGGGGTTGGCAGATTCCAAATCATTAAACTCAAATCCTTGAGTGAGAGTGAAAATGAAATGTGTACGGTAACTTGGTCTCACTCACCGACTCCTCCTCTACTACATCAGAAGCTATTTCCAGACTAGCTTTCTTGGTTTCTGCGAGGCTCTTTGGTTTGCTTGACTCCTGTCTTTTAGGCTTGAGGGGCTCTGGTGCTTTGGTGCTCTCTTTTGGAGGGACCGGTGAAGGACTGGGGGTCGGCAGGGATTTCAGCGCTGGCGTCTGAATCGGTTTGGCAGGTGGCGGCAGGCGTGCAAGGCTTGATGGGTGGAGGTCGTCTTCTACACCGATCGGCTCGTCAGGCGGCGGACTCTTGATGTCTGCTTTGACGTAGTAACCGTGGTACTGGGAGTGAATCTGCCCGTTGCTGGGGTAACTGCTGACTCCTGACTGAGCCTCCTGCTGCCTCACTTCCTGTCTGAGAGAAAGTTTTGATGCTGCCTTTGTTATGCCTGCCGAACAGAAGAAAGGAGAGAGAGAGAGAGAAGAGAAACAGTTACAATCTATTGGCTGGAGCGGCTGTGGCTCAGACAGTGGAGCAACGTGATTGGTGCTTTGGATAAAATTGCTGTATAACCCCAACGCTATGGTATTTCTGACCCATCGCAAACAATGACCCACTGCGCTCCATTTAAACACTTTGTATTTATTTTATAATCAAACAGAGCAAGAGGAAAAAATAAATTACAGCCAGATGTTTCACTCAATACTGTATTTCCTCAAACTGTGACCAGGCTCAACTGCAGTCTTAACAGGGCTTAATTTCTAATTCCCAAAGCCTCATTTTAATCCACTCCTGTTTGCTCTGTTAAAGTTACTCCATTACGAGTTGATATAAACTCAACACTTCCTGTAACTGTTACAAATTAAAAGCTAAATTGCTGCTAACTGGACCCCAGGGGGCAGAAACCCTCTATTTCTAAACAGGGCTTTTATTGTGAAACATACCATATGCAACAAATGAATCAAATGCTTCAGATCAGCGGTTCTCAAAGTGGGGTCATTATAATTCCATCCATAAGTAACACAGTGACAGTGTGTGACTGTTTTGTTCATGGGCTTAAATGTAATAAAACATCTAAAAGCAGAAATCTGATCAGATGAGGGTCTGTAGTCTGATTTGTCTCAGTTTAGGTCCTTGATGTGAGAAAGTTTGACAACCACAGCTTTAGATGAGTAATCCAGAACAACAAAGTGTTGACAATAGTATGATTATATTGTTGAATTCATTAAAGTGGTAAAAATGTACATTATGATTAACTGGCTGCACATTATTATCAACGGCACCAGGAGTTTATCCACTCGTTTTTCCCTGGCCTGTATGTCTTTGTGTTGACCACGCCCCCAGACATTATTGAAGACCTGTGGAAAGCCTAAACACTCAATCCAACATCAGTTATCAACTTTTATGTCTGTTACCTAGCAACCGATGCTAGTTCTCTCATCTCGTATAACTGAAATCACATTAGATTTCTCTTTGAAAGTAGAGCTGCATAGTTAATCGAAATATAATCTAAATCTCAATATGATCAAGTACAATATCACAGGAGCTGCAGTGTCTTTGATGAAGGTAAAATGTGTCACATTGTTCNTGAAGACCTGTGGAAAGCCTAAACACTCAATCCAACATCAACATAATCTAAATCTCAATATGATCAAGTGCAATATCACAGGAGCTGCAGTTTCTTTGATGAAGGTAAAATGTGTCACATTTTGTTCAATGTTAGTAGTGCTACAGAGACGCCCAGCCTACAAATCATATTCTCCAGAAGCAAAGAGACATGATTGTTTGGTACAAGACTCAACAAAAATCACATCATCATTTTATATTTTTTTCAGTGAAAATAAAATGTAAAAATGACCATTCCAACTGAAATCGCAATATCTGCCAAAATAACTGCATTATGATCTTTCTGGCATATACAAAAGTTGTAGCTAAAACAACGACAGTCACGTAACTTCAGGACAGACGAGTTAGAAGTGTGGTAAACATCTGGAGAAAAATTCAAACATGTTCTTTATGGTAAATTTACAACAACACTAACTCAGGACATAAAAGAGAGACAGAGTGGGTTAAGATAGCAGACACAGTCTCCACTGCATCAAATGGAGCATTTTGTTCATTCATCTGTAATGGCTTTTTTCCTAACCATAGTTACCATGGTTACCACACAGTTAAGATAGGACCTGTAGGTTAGGACGTTTCTGTGATACAGCCCCTGGCTCTGAATTGACTCAACACGTGTAGGTAAAATAAACTGCTGCTGCTCACCATGTTGCTGCTACCAAACATTTACTCCAAACCTGTAGGTAATACTGATGCTCACTGTGCAGGAGAAGCTACACATCCTCCACACACACATGAAAATCTCTTCCACATAAACTGTCTGCTGTTACTAGAAAACCACCAACTGACAGCTGTTGATTACTGACGAAGGGTGTAAGACATCATGGTCAATAACTTCAATAACCCAAGCAGCTTACCTGCTGTCAAAGACTCAGCTGTTGGGGTTCTGTTCTCTTTCCCAGCAGGCTTTGCGGAAGAGGCGGCGGCGGTTGTAGCTTTGCTGCTGAAGAGGGACTTCTTAACAGCAATGGGTGAAGGAGTGGGGCTGGGAACTGGGCTCTGAGATGGAGACTGGGTGGGTGTGGTTCCTTTCCGGTAGAAGTGAGGGCTCCCTGATGGAGACTTCTCCTTTTTCTCCTCCACGGGAGCCTCCTTCACCTCCACCGGCTCATTGTACTTCTGCCGTACGTAGTCAGGGCCTGGAGGAAAGGAGAGAACAATGACTGAAGTGAGTGAAACAGAACCCAGCATTTAAAGACAGTTCTGATTTATACCAACAGGGGTCTTTCTGCTCAGTGACAGCAGGTTTTCATTCAGGCACAAACACAACACAAACACAAACACAAACACAAACACACTGCTTTGTGCCTTAGTGAATCTGCAGGTGTGCCCACTAGCTCTCTCTCTCTCTCTCTCTCTCTCTCTCTCTCTCTCTCTTTCTCTCTCACAGACACATTGATAATTTTTTTGTAGATTTTCCTTTTTTGATCATTTTAATGATGATTAATTATTCTATCAATATTAATTAAAATTCCCAAATGTATGGTTAACCATCTACGAGACTGATTTTATGAGAATACCTACGCAGCACTAAGCTTGGGTCAATTTTCCATTATATTGGATATCACGATATTTCCGGCTATATGTGATTTTGAAAATATATACATATAAATTATTTTTCTTTTTTCAGTTTTGCATGTACACCTCTGCTGCAGAGTCCGACCCTCATCTCACTACTTTGCTTACTGAACATTGACTCTTGGCATGTGACAAATAAAACTTTGAACTGCTGTTTAGTGGCAGCGTCATTTATACCTAAAACATAAATTACCATGTACATATAAAATAATATAAGTATGTGCTTCTTGTTCACACTGACCTCAGAGAAACTGGTTTCAAACACTGTGCTGCATATAGATGAGCTCCAAAAAATATGAAGTTACACTCTCATTTCACTGAATCATTTTAAAAGATTGTATCTGCAATCACACTTCCACATGCTTTTTTTTTTTAATGTGAAAATGTTTATCGATGTCTGTGAACTATCTGTGTGTCCATTTTAATTGCCTCTTTGTGTCTCTCTGTCAATGTATAAACTGTATATGTCTATTTTTGTTCACAGGTCTCTCTTGAAAAAAGAGATCCCCATCTCAATGAGGCTGCCTGTTTAAATAATAATAGATCGTGTCATATATCGCAATATTTGGGCTGGACTGTTCAAAGATATTCTATTTTCTGAAATCGCCCAAGCTGAATACAGCACTGGCTGTCAGGTCATTTAAATGTATACCTGAATGTAACCTGGTTTACAGTCAGGTGTCATCAGTGGACAACAACAGCAACAGTGGTGAATCACGCAACACAGGAAAGCACAGACAAGAGAACAGACAGAGGAGGAAATCTCCCCACAGACCAGAGCCTGAAACATTTATAGAGTCCAGTGAAGAAGAGTTTAACAGACGTGTGGCCACTGACACAAAAGTAGATTTAGTCTTTCTATGTTTAGCAGTATGATCGATTCAATTTACTCTTTTCTAGTTTACAGTCTTCCACCCTGCTGTGTGTTGCTGTTGCTGTTGCTGTTGTTGCGGTACCTGGCTGATGGAAGCTCGGGGAGAGCTCTCTGGCCACTGCTCTGGCGATGTCTGAGTCCTGACTGGCCGACTGTGCAGCCTGGTCTGCAGCCTCTGCTTTGGCCCGAGCATGGGACGTCCTGCACAGACACACACATATGAGACACAGCGACTTCAGCATCCATCAAGTAAGTAACTAGTTGAGTGCATTTTGCTGCATATAGTTAATGAGATGGTTGATCACACTACAGTGTTGCAGTATTGACTTTTCTCTGTGTTAGCTGACTGACAATCAGCTGAGTAGTAACATCCCATCATAACCCGACACCACCACCACCACCTGTTCCTGCTGTTCTCTCGGGCAAACTACAGGTTTTTTACACTTCAGCATAAAATAACTTCAAACTATTTTTAAAAAGGAAGAGAAGATATGTAAGACATGAATTCAGCCGGGTCTCTTCAAAATGAACCTGTACAAAGGAGAAACACCATATTGTAGTGGTCGATATTATATTTCACATTTACACCAAAACAAAAAATCACACTCTAACATTAAAACAGAAGGTGGGTAATTCATTTGTGGAGCATACAGATTTTGTGTAATTTTATCCACTCACAGAAACAGTCAAATAGGAGCCCAGAGACACAGGTGCAGCCAGGACCTGCATCTATAGGACCTGAACTGACTGAACCCAGCTGGTTCTGCCATGTTTAAGATCTGACCCAAGACTATAGCTGTGTCCAAATTCAGGGACACTTCATAGCCGTCATAGACTGACAGTATGACCCTGTACAACATCCTCCACTGCCCAGTGTTCAGCTGACACAGCTGGAGAGACGCTCCACGGTGCACCAGGACCAGGAAGCACATTTAGATTTCTCTGACTGTGTGGAGATCTGATGCTTTCAAATCACATATGATGATCAAAAGTATTAAAACGTGGGCATTATAAGTAAAACATTAGACTTGTAGGCCGATACAGGAGTGCAGAGCGGGGCGGCTGCTCTGCTGAACCAACACAAACTGGACAGGGAAGTGAATAATATATTTGTCATATTTTGTAGGTGAGGTGTATTGAAGAATAGACATCAGTAATAATATTGTGTTTATAAGAATGAACACTTGTTATGAATTAACCCCCCCCTCCCCCCCCGAGCATGTGAGGAGCTGAAACTTCGCTGCATGACGGTTTAATAACTGTGGCAAACATACGCCATCATTACCATCATTAGCACTAATGGATGTCTTGCTCAACGGCTAACCCAAGGCTAATTCATTTGCTGGCTAATTCGTTAGTTAACAGGCTAAGCTAACAAGCCAGGTATGGTGAACACAGACACTGATACTTGCTAATTAGTGCTAACATATGAATAAAATAATGCTATATATTGTAAAACCAATACTACTAATAATCATACTAATAGTCAAATTATCTGTCTGATATTTACATGAAGAATCCTCCAGAGGAACCAACACCACAAAGAGCTCACGTTTAGTGACTCCAACTAGCTGAGGTGACGCTGAGCAGAGAGCTAGCAACACCCTCAATTCTCCATAACTTTAAACTTTAATAAAATGTAAACAGGTGAGTTATATAAACAGTTGTCACGAAGGAGGAAATTAGCTCTAGACTCCAAACCTGTTTTTGTACCAGGCTGTAAACATTTTCATTTCTGCTGTAAAGTTGGACATTTTAACATGGGAGTCTATGGGGATTGACTAACTGCTGGAGACAGACTCTAGTGGTCATTAGAGGAACTGCAGGTTATGGTACTTGGCTTGGCTTCACTTTTCAGCCTCAGAGGTTGATGCTTGTTTCTAACTGAAATGATCCAGACACTGACAGTTTTTTGTACTGCTACTTCCTCCTTTACTTTCACCTTCAGTCAGTACAGTACATCATCTCATGGTGTCACGATGATTAATGTCCCCACTCTTCTGCTGTTTAATAGTTCCATGATAAACCAAAGCTCAACTAACTCTTTCAGCCACGACTTAAAGCTACAGAGACCAATTTCTACTATTGATTAAACTAGTATTGACCACTAAACTAATTAATATAAACAGAAACACTAAGGAAGCAACATTTCAAAGGTCAGCTGTGAGTTCAGAGTTCAGTATTGACTGACTGACTGACTGACTGACTGATTGACTGTGTGTGTGTGTGTGTGTGTGTGTGTGTAGCTGGGCTACAGGGGCAGTGTGAGACAGTATTCCTGTCAGCTGTTGATAAGCGTCCTTCTCCCTGGCCTTATTTAGACAAGCACTACTTCTGACGCACACACATGCACACACATACTTGTACTTCTATCTTTGTGAGGACACACGCTGGCATAATGTATTCCCAAGCCCCTCACCCTAACCTTAAGCATCACAACTGAAGGCTTAACCCCAACCCTAACCTTCATCCTGACCCTTCAACAGGCCAAATGTCTTCACTCTGTAAGGTCTATACAAACTGGTCCACACTAAGACTCAAGTACAAGCATACACACATACACACACAGGTAAGACATGCTTGCACTTGTGCACACACGCACTCTCACCCAAACCCACACACACACACACACACACACACACACAATCTGGCCAAGAATGTGCCTACTTGCTTCTCTCTCTCTCTCCAGCCCACTCACCTACTCTTCTCGACCTCCCTGTTTTCTCACTTTGTTCCCACTCTCTCTCTCTTTCTCTCCCTCCCTCACAGTTTGCCCAGATGACGGGAAAAGTGATGCAAGCTGAAAGCCCTCCACACGTTCCTGAGTTCTGACCAGCATTCATCAGCTATGGCGGCGCTGCAACCTTCAAAGACTGCATCTCCCATTTCTCACATTCTGCCACCAGCTCTGGACTGTCTGAGCATGTACTCATGTCTGTCTGTATCAGGCCTCATACAGGGATATTCACTCATGCCTCTGTGTTATAACTCCTTTGTGTCCAGAGCTCATGCATAGTGTGAACTGGGCTGTTCGGTAACACATAATAAACAATGTTTATGGTGCACAGTTTTAGTTGACGTAGTCACCACCTTCTGAACGATGCAGCAAAGCTCCTTCCTTGATGGAATTAGGCCAAACTGCCAAAACAAGATGGAGGAAAGCCAAGTCCTCTCTGTCTCAGGGCATCCCTGCCTTTATGACTTAACATCAGACAGTTATCATGAGCAAAATGCAAAGCCTCGTTTGTTTAGTTCTGCAATGGAGTAATCGTCATTCACCCTCCATTGAAATGAATGCTTCAGGTCTCTGGATGGACATATAGATGACTGGGTGGATGGGTGGGTGAGTGGGTGGGTGTATGGATGGATGGATGGATGGATGGATGGATGGATGACAGGATGCTTTATTGTCTCAAATTGGGAAATCTGTATGTCACAGCAGCTGGACAAAAAATAAGTACAATGAATAACGGATAATTTTTGCCGTTTTCATTTTACCAAAAAAGGAGGACTTTTGCTTTAAATAGATATTTGTTTATTTATAATAAGCCGACTTCAGTGTCATATGTTACCATACCATCAAACGTAATATCCCACTGACAAATAATGGTTATTTGTTTGGGTGGGTGGAATGATTTATGTACATATGTGGATTCGGACGACATCAGGGCCGATCTCTGCGTCACTTAATGGATGCATTTCCACAGCTAGCAGATCAATGTCCAGGCCTAAGAAAAGTTCTTTCACACTCACATGTCTGGGATTGCGCCACTTTTCATTCACAATGTGAGTGCAGCCATGTGTCTGTGAAACACACGATTCCTTACTCAAGATATTCCTGCCGGTTCTTGATCAGTGCACAGAGATCAACCAAAGACCTCAAATCCCCCATGATGATCGCTGGAACAATCGCTTGCCACTTAGCTCCAGGTCTGCAACCCCAACATCTCCTCCACAGGACCTCTGGGATTTCAGGCCTTGTTCTGGGCAGTAGCTCTGGTTCACTCAATGCAATCAGCTGGTTCCGTGACTAAACAACGCCCTCAGGCTCTCCATCACCAGGCGTTCAGAAATTAAAAGTGAGGCCACAAAAAAAAAGGAGCCATTGCTGCTTAAAAAAACACACAAATAAGAATTAATAAAGTCATAAAGTGACTACGTGATGAAAAATCAGACCCCACACCGGAACCTGCTACAACAAGCTGCCACTCAATGTGGCGCCATAATGAGACGTAAGGTTATGGCATTGGTGTTGTGCTGCTGGAGCGCAGTGGACGGACGCCCCGCTACGATTTTTCTCCAAAAGATGAAATAAAATATCTACAGTTCACATAATCCAGTTGATATTTATATACA